GTGTAGAAAAGGGAAGGGGATTCAGTTTATATAGTAACTGTCCCCATCATTGCGCACGAAACACTAAAAGGCACATTTAATGCGCACAATCTCCAAAGCAACGAAAAACAGCTGAGAGCAATGATGAGGTGGTTGGGGCATTTATAAAACCCTTCGTCTTCTGACGACACGTCTCCCTTGCATCAAAAGATCAAAGGGTTGGGGGGCAGTTGATGGAACATTTCTGGAAGGAGATAGATCGGTGACACGTGTCCTCAACGGCATTATATTCCCAGTCAGGCATGGACACGTGTCCTCAGCATTGCTTAGTCCCTTCTGCCGAGGTGGTAGAGCTCGGAGTTGAGCGATCCCCCCAAATTGCGCAGTTGACACATATACCCTCGGCTCGGTGAAAACCCTTTACCCCGAGGATCACTATCCCTCGGCGCCGAGGTCTTCCTTCGACACGATGGATCCCACCTCTCCTCTGCTTCTATAAAAGCTAATGATTAACAGATGACTAGTCTAGGCCAAGCTAAGCTAGCTATCATGAAGATGCTTTGCTCCATGGTGTCAGGAGGTGCAGGAATGCAGAACATACAACCAAGGAGGAGTGAACGCGTGCAATGTGATATCAAATCAGTAGTAAAAAGACTTGGATACTCATGCTGACACATGACTAGAGCAAGTTAGCATTTAATGAATCCTCCTCCTGATGAAACAGCAATTAAGGCATGGGGGTCGAGAAGTGAAGTGCATTAAAGACTTCCATACCTGGGCATTTAATGCATCCTCGCCGAGAAGAGGAAAATTGAATGCTCGGTAAACCGAGGAGTGAGCTTTAAATGCTCAGCATCTCAATCAGTTCCACATAAAAGTGAGGGGCACACTACCCCATCCCTAACAAATACCTGCTAGATGGACTGTCAGCAATCATGAGCCTTTGAAGGTATAAATAGTTCTCAAAAAAGTATTGCAAAGGTATGCAAAAACTTCTAAAAAGGACTACATAGTGCTTTCTTCTTCCCCTCTCTCGTCGGAGGGAATATGCCGAAGAGCACTCCGGCACCCTTCTAACTTGTTTTTCTGTGTCACAGGATCCCACCATAGTCTTCCCGGATCGGTCAAGCGACCCAACATACAATTCATCACCAGTCCTTAGGGCCCCTATGACCCTCTCAACCTACTACTTGTTGTCGGAATCTACATTCAGATGGGTCAAATCTTAGCCAGAGGTGATCCGATATCCTAAAAGCAAACCTTCACTACCATCTTGGCTCTTTTTGTCCCACTGAACCTATTCCCGTTCCATCAGAACTACTATCTTGAAAAATCATAGTTCGTTGTGGGAGAGATCTGTTCCTAATTCAACTATTGTGTAAAAATCTGCACGCACAGAAAGTTCAATTAAGATCGCCAGATCAATAATCTTTAAATGATCTGAGCCGCAAAATCCTAATTAGACTTTATATATATATATATAAAGAGAGAGAGAGAGAGAGAGAATGAGAGATGAGAGAGTGTTTGTGTTCAATAATCTTCAAATGATCTAACATGCGAGAAGTTCAAGACAAACAAAGCTAACTACTTTATTATATAGATATATATATATAAAATAAAGTATAGCTGAGTTTGAATTTTGGAGACAAAGAGATGTCTAGATCGTTTTCAAATAAAACATAAACATATTAAATGGACAATATAATTCCAACATAAAAAATAGTTCAGATCATTTTAAAATATTTGATCAAACAATCCTAATTGATGCTCATAATTGTTTTCCTACCTAAAAATTTGAATAAGTCTTTTATCCNTCGGTCAAGCGACCCAACATACAATTCATCACCAGTCCTTAGGGCCCCTATGACCCTCTCAACCTACTACTTGTTGTCGGAATCTACATTCAGATGGGTCAAATCTTAGCCAGAGGTGATCCGATATCCTAAAAGCAAACCTTCACTACCATCTTGGCTCTTTTTGTCCCACTGAACCTATTCCCGTTCCATCAGAACTACTATCTTGAAAAATCATAGTTCGTTGTGGGAGAGATCTGTTCCTAATTCAACTATTGTGTAAAAATCTGCACGCACAGAAAGTTCAATTAAGATCGCCAGATCAATAATCTTTAAATGATCTGAGCCGCAAAATCCTAATTAGACTTTATATATATATATATAAAGAGAGAGAGAGAGAGAGAGAATGAGAGATGAGAGAGTGTTTGTGTTCAATAATCTTCAAATGATCTAACATGCGAGAAGTTCAAGACAAACAAAGCTAACTACTTTATTATATAGATATATATATATAAAATAAAGTATAGCTGAGTTTGAATTTTGGAGACAAAGAGATGTCTAGATCGTTTTCAAATAAAACATAAACATATTAAATGGACAATATAATTCCAACATAAAAAATAGTTCAGATCATTTTAAAATATTTGATCAAACAATCCTAATTGATGCTCATAATTGTTTTCCTACCTAAAAATTTGAATAAGTCTTTTATCCTATATAGAACTCAAGACTCCTATCTCTCATGTACTCTCTCTCTCTCTCTCTCTCTCAAAACACATACGACTAAAAATTTCAAATTTTAAATCCACTGCCAACCAATATCTCATATTCGGCTCCTCTCTCACGCTTTAATTTGCCCCCGCTCTCTCTATAAAACTCTACTCTCCCATATGTATATGTTTATCCCTCAAGCGCCCAAGCCATCTGCCACCATTTCTCTTTCCTTATCTACTTTACACACTCACGCCAACCTCTCTCTCTCTCTCCTCCCATGCCTGACACAGTCATGCCCAAATAAAAAACCACTATAACAATGCCACTGCTATGCATACCAAATCTCTCTCTATTTCATCTATTTTATACAGAGTATTGGCAAACTTTTCTCCAATTTATTTTTAATTGGTTCAAAACTTTTGAACTTCTCTCAAGGTATAAGTCTTCTATCTAATCTCAACTTGCTTTATTTGACAATTTTTTAGTCTCCCAAATCTCTGCAGTTTGTCGCTGTAAAACACCTAGTCGCTGCTCATCCAACATCGTTGCCCATTACACATCTACCGCTGCTCCTATCTCTCTCTCTCTCTCTCTCTCTCTGAACACTCACATTGGTGTTTGATCAAAGGCCACAGTGGTGTTCCACACACAGAGCAATCACATCGTCTGTGAACACACGAAATTGATATGTGTTTAAAGGTTGAATTCTTTTTTGGGATGCTAATATTTTGCTTAAAGCTTCGATTTTTTTTTTTTTTGAAATTTTGCTTTCGTGTGTTGCTTTTTGTGCAGCTGTTACCCACCACGTGAACATAGAACACATGCAAAGGATGTTTGTCAAGATTTTCTGCATGACACACAAGAACATAGAACACATACACAATGTGTGTGCAGGCATCTCACATAAGGTTTATGTCGTCCAATCATAAATTATGATGGTTGGGAAGCAGTCCACTAATTTTCTTTGGAGAAAAAGAATTGGCACCATCATTTATGATTTCTAATTTGCTTTATTCTTTTGACCACTTCAAGTACCAACAATATAAATGCAGAGGTCTGCACAAGAACTTGGAGGAGGTGCACGGGCACTTAGGTAATCTATTACTCCAAGGATAAAAAATTGTTGTGATTTATTATTTGAGTTTTAGAGTATGAGGTACTAAATGCTTCAAATAGTTTTATTGAAATAATTAATCTATAATTCGATATGTTATTTTTTTAACCATTTGCATTCTCTATAATTCGATGTGTTCTTTAAACCATATGAATCAAAACCTACTGCCAAGATGTTTTGTGATGTTCTATTTGTTTTGTTGATATACTGTTTGTCAAGTCCTCCTGTGTACAGTGGGTTGATTTAGTTGCCTAAATATGTGTTTTAACTCAAATGGCTATAGATATGTTGGGTATTGGTTCAAATAGCTAAAATTTATTCAAATTAGATTTTGGGAATATGCAGTGAGCCTAACTCTTATTGATAAGAAAGGTTGTGTTGTTGCATAAAAATATAGGTGATGCTAAACAATTGAATTTGTTTGTATGTCGTAGTGCAAATAGAAAGGTATACACAATCCTCCCATGTTCAATTCCACATCTAAAATTGATAATGTGTTAAAAGTTATATTTTCCTCTCTTGTTGTTCTGTTTTCTTTTTTTTTTGTTATTTCACGTTGTAGTTATAATATATCAAGTACAATCTTTCAGTCAGGTAAAAGTTCAATTTCTTTGCTTGGTATTTTTAATAAATTTCAGTAAATGAGAAGTGAAAACACATTGTATTTTAATGAAAATTAAATGTTTTTATTTAGCTATCTATTACATTCTCTCTCAACTAATTTGGAGGATTGAATGGTGGACATTCAACATATTTTTTTATCTATTTAGAAACGGATTTATAGAAAATTGTTATGGAGGGAGATAGGAAATTATGAGATTCTACTTTTGATGAGGGGATGAGATTTTTATAGCAACATGCATGGATTATCGGTTTCAAAATGGAAAGAGTATGGAGGAAGGATTAAAATAATCATTGACTTTTTTTTTTTTTGGTGGGCAGGAGGGGCTGAGTAGCTGTTAAAATTAGTTTCTTTAGCGTCAACAAATTTACTCTAGATATAAGATATTAACTAATTTCTATTAAATTTTTGGACATTAAACGGGTTCACCTCAATTGTATGACTTTTTTTGGTATCAAAACTAAACTAAAAATTTGCTTGAATTAAAGGTTCACCCCAGTTGTAATTATCCTATTGGGATTATCGTAAATGACAAGTATCAATGGGGAGAGAGAGAGTAGTATTGCACAAGGTCATCCAAATGGAAACTAACAAAGTCCCAACTAACCTAGAACTGTTTAGTGGACAAATCGATAAACCCTGTAGATAAACCTTAAACTTTTCAAAATCTATCACTAGATAATCCATTCAATGTCCAACTGAACTCATCATCCTCAATTCAAACCCAAAATCCCAAAAAAAATAAAAAAATTCAGAAATCTCACCGGAAAACACAACAATGGCGGATCCAACACCGAACAAGAAAACAAAATCACCGGTCTGCGTCACCGGAGCCAACGGCTTCATTGGAACCTGGCTTGTCAAGACCCTCCTAGACCACGGCTACACCACCATCCACGCCTCGATTTTCCCCGGCTCCGACCCAACCCACCTTTTCAGTCTCCCGGGAGCCTCCGACGCTGGCGTGCGACTTGTGGTACACGAGGCTGATCTCCTTGACGGCGATGCCATTCACAAGGCCATAGAGGGGTGTTCCGGCGGTGGCGTGTTCCATGTTGCGTCGCCGTGCACTCTCGAGGACCCGGTTGACCCGCAGAGGGAGCTGCTGGAGCCCGCCGTGAAGGGTACTCTCAACGTTCTCGCGGCGGCGAAAAAGTTTGACGTGCGGCGCGTAGTCCTCACGTCGTCGATCTCAGCTATTGTACCGAATCCCTGTTGGGATAATAACAAGCCGTTTGATGAAAGTTCTTGGACTGATCTTGATTACTGCAAGTCCCGCCAGGTCTCTCTCTCTCTCACACACAAGCGTTCATAGCTTTTAATGTTCTGTTTTATGAATTTCTGTCAATGATGAGCTAAGTATTGAAAAATAAATTTTACTCAAAATCGAATACTAGTATGTTGAATAGGACTGATGATCGAAATCAACTGCCATCTGATATCAGATTGAAAATGACATGTTATTACTCTATGGGGAAAATTTGTGGTATCTGTCTAATACAATCCTAAAGAACTAAGTTGTGATTGCTCAATACGAGTTGTTTTGTGACAGAAATGGTACCCAGTGTCAAAGACACTGGCTGAGAAAGCTGCGTGGGAATTTGCAGAGAAGAACGGATTGGACGTTGTAGCAATCAATCCAGCTACATGTCTTGGTCCGCTTTTGCAACCGAGTTTGAATGCGAGTTGTGCTGTATTGCAACAGCTGCTGCAGGGATCAAAAGACACCCAGGAATATCACTGGTTGGGGGCAGTGCATGTCAAAGATGTCGCAAAGGCACAACTATTGCTATTTGAGAATGCTGCTGCTTCTGGACGACACCTTTGCGCCAATGGCATCTATCAGTTTGGTGATTTTGCTGAGAAAGTCTCCAAACTCTTTCCTGAGTTTCCAGTTCACAGGTCAGTGTTTTGTATTCATTCCAATGTTTAAGGCTTCAACGTATATTCATACCTTTGGAATTTTTTTTCTCTCTTTGTTGCTCTCTCTCATGTCACAGTATCATCACTCCCATCTTTATGTGTTTGATTGGGAGATAGAGTCCTCTGGCTTCTTAATTATACAAAAGATTTGTGACCATGGAGAAAGCCTTGGATCTGAATTTACCAATCTCAAGTACCCAGAATATGAAATCAAAATACTGATATGGAATAATCTCTCTAGAACTTAGCTAATGATATGTGCATTACATATTCAATAATATACGGAAGAGAGACACAGAAATAGTCCAGAAAATGATTCTGTTTTACCGGTTCAGAATTTTTTAGACTTGGTATTTTGATATTTGACGTGAAGACAGGCCTTCCGTAACACCCCTATAAACTGCATAGGCAAAATCTGTCTTGCCCTCAGAAATTTCTTAATGCTTGCCCTTATAGGAACAAAGGCTTGTGAGGAGTGAGGACCGCAATTTTTGTGGCTGTTCCTCTAGGGAAATAAGCCTCTTAGAATTTTCAATGCATAAAGAATACAATGGCTTAGAAAATGGCAAGATAGAGAATCCATAAGAATTACTTCTTATCAATAGTGGTAATGCTGGAGGGACAATTGATGTAAATCGTAATAGCTTTGATATCAAATTTATGTAGATCGTATTAGNTCTCTCTCTCTCTCTCTCTCTCAAAACACATACGACTAAAAATTTCAAATTTTAAATCCACTGCCAACCAATATCTCATATTCGGCTCCTCTCTCACGCTTTAATTTGCCCCCGCTCTCTCTATAAAACTCTACTCTCCCATATGTATATGTTTATCCCTCAAGCGCCCAAGCCATCTGCCACCATTTCTCTTTCCTTATCTACTTTACACACTCACGCCAACCTCTCTCTCTCTCTCCTCCCATGCCTGACACAGTCATGCCCAAATAAAAAACCACTATAACAATGCCACTGCTATGCATACCAAATCTCTCTCTATTTCATCTATTTTATACAGAGTATTGGCAAACTTTTCTCCAATTTATTTTTAATTGGTTCAAAACTTTTGAACTTCTCTCAAGGTATAAGTCTTCTATCTAATCTCAACTTGCTTTATTTGACAATTTTTTAGTCTCCCAAATCTCTGCAGTTTGTCGCTGTAAAACACCTAGTCGCTGCTCATCCAACATCNGACAATTGATGTAAATCGTAATAGCTTTGATATCAAATTTATGTAGATCGTATTAGGGAAGAATTCGTAGCAAAGTCATGATGACTTGGACAAGTAGACACAGAATAGTCACTAGTAGATTCTGCAATAAATGACTCGATTGGCTTAATTTCTTGCGTAGGTGTAGACTCAACAGACTTTTTCACATTTTCCAAGACCAATGATGGTTCAAGAATTGACACAAGCAAAGATTCACACACACTTTCTTTCGATATGAACTCTTGTGGGTGCAAAGGAGGAAGACTCTAATCTGATGAAATTGAAGGAGGGAGTTGGAAGTCAATATGAGTAACATTTTTCTTTTTATCCGATACTAGTATATCTAAATCCTTTGTCACATTCAGATTAGGAAAGCATGCAAAAGCAACATGGACATCATTGAGGAGGACTCTGATCTGATGAAATTGAAGGAGGGAGTTGGAAGTCAATATGAGTAACATTTTTCTTTTTATCCGATACTAGCATATCTAAATCCTTTGTCACATTCGGATTAGGAAAGCATGCAGAAGCAACATGGACATCATTCAAGTAATCATGATACTCAAATGTTTTGGAATTAAAATTGGAAGGTATCTTTTCACGCTATTTGGCAGACTGTGATTGAGAACCCATCAAGCTATAGTTGGATTTCTTATAAAATCTCTCAAATTTAATAAGTTAGATCAATTGACCCAAGTAAATGGTATTAATCATGCTCCTTGTGGTGTACAGGTGTAGACAAAGTTTTTATCTACAAAATTTGATTAGATTTTAATGCCTATCCTTTTTGCCATGTTACCTCATCCTCTACATGATTCATGGTGGTTCCACTCCAGACAATGAGTACTTCTCTTGTTGCAATTTCGGTTTCTCAACAAATACCTTGGCCACACAATGAGGACCCATATTCTATTTTGGCTTCCAAGGAACTCTTCATATTGCTTAAAAGCATGTCCACTACTCTCCAACACCACCTTTCCCTTAGCAAAGGCCCAGGGCTCCACTTTTCAGTTCTAAGAAATGCTGGAGATTGGAGATTCCATCTGGGTGTGATTGTGCATCTTCTATGGTTGCCTTTTATGGTGGATGCTCTCAACTTGGCCTTAATGAAGCTTTACGACTCAGATGCTGCCTTAGAGGCCTATTGATGCATTATATCTATACGGAAAATTCTTATATTGGCTAATCTCATATGCATTTTTGCTTATTGTAAAAGTAGCAATAAAGGAAAGACATACCCTGTTTAAGTGCATTCCTCATATGCTAAGTCAATTCAACTTCATTAGATTTTGTAGTTTAGCCAAAAAGCTGTGGTGGGGTACCTGATACCCTCTATAAGGGGCATTGATTTTAATGGAAAATCTTGAGGAAGACTAAGTTATTACTGGTCTAATTTTTTCTTTGTTCAAACTGCCTCTGTAATACTGTTATATTAACTCTGGATTCTGAATGGCCAAAAAGGATGTGTATCACTATCAAAGATGGCCTTTCCCCTGCTTCCCATGTGCCTGTTTCGAAAGGTCACCACATCGCATTTATTTAAAAATGACTTACTACTATAATTACAGATTTGAAAGGAAGCTCTTGGCTTCAATGATATTGCTTCTATAATTACTGATTTTCGGTGAGACGTGGATTGGCAATACATGTTACAAGAGAGCTATACGAATTTGATTTTACAGAAAACAAAACAGGTATAGTGGATAAGGAAAAGAGAAAATTAGGATAAAGTGTTCTCATGAAAGAAAAGAAAAAAAGAATAAGCAACCACTATTTCACTCAATTTTGTAATTTTTTCTGTACGGTTTTAATCCTTCATGTATTTGTTTTCTTGGATTTCAAAATATATTTCCTCTTGTTCAATAAATTGGTTTCAATGATGCAAACTCCAAATTTCAATACAGGTTTGTTGGGAAAACACAACCAGGTTTGACAGCTTGTGAAAATGCTGCAAAGAAATTGATAAATTTGGGACTAGTCTTTACTACAGTTGAAGATGCTGTCAGAGACACAGTTGAGAGCCTCAAAGAAAAGGGTTTCCTGGGGCAGAAAGCGCAGGAAAAGTCGCTATCTTAAGTCCTTTCTAGAGCTGAAACTTCCACTTATTTAATCAGCCTTATTTATTTGTTATGGCATAATAATGAGGCCAATAGACCGTTTTCCTTTTTTTTTGTTTTGGTGGTTTAATCAAATTGTCTATTATCTTTATTTTTTATTTATTTAAGTGTTCCAAAAGTAACTCTGAACTTCGAATTGATTGTAAACTTTACGCTGAAAGTTTACAATCTTAGCATGATTTATCTTTTGGTGGGTTGATATTTTTGTCTCTGTAGATGGATTGTGAGATTGCATCTGTCTTGCGTCTTTTTTACCACTCTATACTCTGCAACTGCCTTTAAATTCTGCAGAATCAGTCCGAGTCTCAAGTTTAAGTTTGCACAAAAATAGTTAAATTTATGAAATCAATGTAATTCATAGTCATTGTCAAATAAAGAGCAGGGAATGTGATGAGCAAGTGTTCACTACTTGCAACAATCCAGCCAAAGCAACAGATTAGGACAGGTTTTGTCCATTTTGGTGGTTGGTATAGTTTTGTTAATTTAGCCTTTGCCTTGCACGTGATGAGAGGGTTTGGGTGTGTTCTTGTCACCCATAACCAGGCAAGTTTGGGTAAAATGATTTTTAAACACTGTTAGACTGGCTTTAGTTATTAGTCTTTCTCTCACATCTCTCTCTTTCTATGTGCATTGGTAAAAGAAAGATTCTTTTCTTCTAAAAGAGTGCAAGGGTTAAGGATGCGAAAGATGATGCACATGGAGTGTTTATTGGTGGCTTTTATGTGAGAGAAAGAGAGAGGGGGGGGGGGGGGAGAGA